AATCTAGTATCATAAAGTTAAGCATCTTTGGAACCAATAACTGCATCAATAATATATTAAGTGAATTCAGCCCATTCCATATGACCATCTCCATTAATATCTATATCTTAAAATAACTTAATTAATCCATTAACTAATTCATATTTATCTTCTGGAGCATGAGAGATTGCACATTTCATTAGCCATATAAAATTTGGTAATTCAATACCATTTGGATGTTCATGAAATTCTTTATCCAAAGCATCTAATTTCTCATTATCTAACATCATCATCAATCTATCTGCTTAATAAGGGTTACGTTCAACTAATATCATATCCTAATGTTCTTAGAGATACCTATGTTATATTGTATATATTACTTAATAACATCTGTTAAACATGGTTCGAATCGTTTAAGTAAATTGTTCATTAAATTATTAAAAATTTAAATCTTAATGGGTGAGGTAGTACCAAATCAATTATTTGTTGCTGGCTATAGTCGTAACAAAATATCTGATGATAAGGGAATCAAAGACATATTTAAGAAATATGGAAATATCAAGGAGGTTGCCTACAAAGGTGCATATTCATTTGTTGTAAGAACTATATTCTCTATATTAGACATTCTCCTCTGAATCTGAAGCTTAAAATGCTATATCTGCTCTGAATGGATAATAAATTAATGGATAAAAGCTGAAAGTCGATATAGTGGACAATCGTAAAGGTAGACGTAATGGTCCTTAAGAGAATGATGAATGTTTTAAATGTGGAAAAGGTGGTCATTGGTATTACTTTTAACTTATTCTAGGGCTAGAGAATGTCCCAATAGACAATCACCTACTAGAAGAACAAAATATTCTGATTCAAGATCAAGGTATTTAAATTAATTATATTGTGAGACATCGAAGATCAAAGAGATCAAATTCAAGATCTCGTTCATATTCTTCTTATTCATCTTCTCATTCAAGAAGGAGAAGGGATGCAAAGAAGAGAAGTAGGTACAACAGAAGAAGTAGAAGCCCAAGAAGAGATAATAAGAGAAAGAAAAGTTCCAGTTGCAGAAGATCACAAAGCAATTCAAGGTCCAGATCTTCAGTTAGCAATAAATAACGTTAGTCACATAAGTCATCATCATCTAAATGAGAAAGGATCAAATTAAGAGAAAAAGAAATTAGAAATTAAATCAATCCTTTTCTTCCATTTTTTATTCTCTCTCTCTCTTTCTTTCTGGATTAAATTGTATCATTTTTTGTCAAAAGATCGCTTAAATTAACAAGTTCTTAAGCAATATCAAAAAAAAGTCATTATATAATACATTAAATCAAATTTTACAATAAATAAATCTAAAACTTATTAATTACAAATCTCTATCATATAATTAGATTTATTTAAATTGTAGTCATTTTCTGATTTCACTATTAATGCATATATCTATAAATTTCAGTCTTAGTTCAGTTATTGAAATAAATTTAACACTAAACAAGGTTTAGATAAATTTTAAAATCATAAGAAAATTGTAGATTTAATGTAAAACACTATTATTA